GGGGGGTTGCTCCTCAGGGGTTGGGCTCCGCCCTTTAGTTCCAGTGAAGGGAACTCTTAAGGCATCAGCACACCAAGACATTTTGGACAATTTCATGCACCAAACTTTGTGGGAGGAGTTTGGGGACGGCCCCTTCCTGTTCCAACATGACTGCGCACCAGTGCACAGAGCAAGGTCCATAAAGACATAGATGGGGGAGGGGGGGGGGCGTGACTGGTCGCACAGAGTCCTGACCTCAACCCCATAGAACACCTTTGGGATGAATTAGAGGCGGAGACTGCGAGCCCCTCCCCCAACATCAGTACCTGACCTCACAAATGGTCCAACATTCCCATAGACACACATAGACCCAGAAGAGGCGGAGCTGTTATAGCGGCAAAGGGCGGAGCCAACCCAATACTGAACCCTACGGACTAAGACTGGGGGGCCATCAGAGGGCGGAGCCAACCCAATACTGAACCCTACGGACTAAGACTGGGATGTCGTTAAAGTTAATGTGCATGTAAAGGCGTCCCGATACTTTTGGTAATATAGTGTATGCCATGGGGCTATTAGAGGGGGTAGTTATATGTGATGGTGGTATTTCTGTGCACACAACCCTTGGATCTGTTATTCTACTACGTCAAAGGTCTGAATACCCCAAAAAAGCCCAAATCCAGCCGAAGCTTCCTTTGAGTTGTGCACAGAGTGGGGAAGGGAAAGAACTGAATTTGTACCGTGGCCTGTGACTGTCATAGGCCGAGACGGAGCAGAGGTAAGTACCCGGGCACTTCAAACTGAGCCTATTGTGAAAATGTAGGCAAGCGGAGTTCCCCCTCCATGAAAATGTCAGAGAAATCAGCAGACTCACAGAAGGGGGGGGGAGATATGAGCAAATCTACATGGCTCCTCCCCCCCACCTCCTGAACTTCATTGGTCAGTCGACCCTTCCGTCACATGCAAGGAACAATGGGAATGGGCTGACATGGGCGAGCTTGACTCTAGAAACAACAAATGGCTCCTCCACAGAACTTCGGATTCGGGGACAGAGGAGGCGACTCACTTGTAGAGTGCAGAGCGGTTGTGCGGAGGAAGCATCTGCTCCGTGACGTATCCGGGGTACAGGACCGGCACGCCAACGGCCCTCTGCACGATGAGCTGGGGCTGGAAGAGGTACTGGCACTCATCGTGTAGACCCTGAAAACACAGCAAGACGACGACGATGATAATATAAAGTGACACCAGACAGTATGACTAGATACAATAGGGAAGGGAGGTGGTAGGTGGGTACACTAGATACAATAGGGAAGGGAGGTGGCAGTGGATGGAGGTGATGTTAGGTGGGTACACTAGATACAATAGGGAAGGGAGGTGACGGTGGATGGAGGTGATGGTAGGTGGGTACACTAGATACAATAGGGAAGGGAGGTGGCAGTGGATGGAGGTGATGGTAGGTGGGAACACTAGATACAATATGGAAGGGAGGTGGCAGTGGATGGAGGTGACGGTAGGTGGGTACACTAGATACAATAGGGAAGGGAGGTGGCAGTGGATGGAGGTGACGGTAGGTGGGGACACTAGATACAATAGGGAAGGGAGGTGGCAGTGGATGGAGGTGACGGTAGGTGGGGACACTAGATACAATAGGGAAGGGAGGTGGCAGTGGATGGAGGTGACGGTAGGTGGGGACACTAGATACAATAGGGAAGGGAGGTGGCAGTGGATGGAGGTGACGGTAGGTGGGGACACTAGATACAATAGGGAAGGGAGGTGGCAGTGGATGGAGGTGACGGTAGGTGGGGACACTAGATACAATAGGGAAGGGAGGTGGCAGTGGATGGAGGTGACGGTAGGTGGGGACACTAGATACAATAGGGAAGGGAGGTGGCAGTGGATGGAGGTGACGGTAGGTGGGGACACTAGATACAATAGGGAAGGGAGGTGGCAGTGGATGGAGGTGACGGTAGGTGGGGACACTAGATACAATAGGGAAGGGAGGTGGCAGTGGATGGAGGTGACGGTAGGTGGGGACACTAGATACAATAGGGAAGGGAGGTGGCAGTGGATGGAGGTGACGGTAGGTGGGGACACTAGATACAATAGGGAAGGGAGGTGGCAGTGGATGGAGGTGACGGTAGGTGGGGACACTAGATACAATAGGGAAGGGAGGTGGCAGTGGATGGAGGTGACGGTAGGTGGGGACACTAGATACAATAGGGAAGGGAGGTGGCAGTGGATGGAGGTGACGGTAGGTGGGGACACTAGATACAATAGGGAAGGGAGGTGGCAGTGGATGGAGGTGACGGTAGGTGGGGACACTAGATACAATAGGGAAGGGAGGTGGCAGTGGATGGAGGTGACGGTAGGTGGGGACACTAGATACAATAGGGAAGGGAGGTGGCAGTGGATGGAGGTGACGGTAGGTGGGGACACTAGATACAATAGGGAAGGGAGGTGGCAGTGGATGGAGGTGACGGTAGGTGGGGACACTAGATACAATAGGGAAGGGAGGTGGCAGTGGATGGAGGTGACGGTAGGTGGGGACACTAGATACAATAGGGAAGGGAGGTGGCAGTGGATGGAGGTGACGGTAGGTGGGGACACTAGATACAATAGGGAAGGGAGGTGGCAGTGGATGGAGGTGACGGTAGGTGGGGACACTAGATACAATAGGGAAGGGAGGTGGCAGTGGATGGAGGTGACGGTAGGTGGGGACACTAGATACAATAGGGAAGGGAGGTGGCAGTGGATGGAGGTGACGGTAGGTGGGGACACTAGATACAATAGGGAAGGGAGGTGGCAGTGGATGGAGGTGACGGTAGGTGGGGACACTAGATACAATAGGGAAGGGAGGTGGCAGTGGATGGAGGTGACGGTAGGTGGGGACACTAGATACAATAGGGAAGGGAGGTGGCAGTGGATGGAGGTGACGGTAGGTGGGGACACTAGATACAATAGGGAAGGGAGGTGGCAGTGGATGGAGGTGACGGTAGGTGGGGACACTAGATACAATAGGGAAGGGAGGTGGCAGTGGATGGAGGTGACGGTAGGTGGGGACACTAGATACAATAGGGAAGGGAGGTGGCAGTGGATGGAGGTGACGGTAGGTGGGGACACTAGATACAATAGGGAAGGGAGGTGGCAGTGGATGGAGGTGACGGTAGGTGGGGACACTAGATACAATAGGGAAGGGAGGTGGCAGTGGATGGAGGTGACGGTAGGTGGGGACACTAGATACAATAGGGAAGGGAGGTGGCAGTGGATGGAGGTGACGGTAGGTGGGGACACTAGATACAATAGGGAAGGGAGGTGGCAGTGGATGGAGGTGACGGTAGGTGGGGACACTAGATACAATAGGGAAGGGAGGTGGCAGTGGATGGAGGTGACGGTAGGTGGGGACACTAGATACAATAGGGAAGGGAGGTGGCAGTGGATGGAGGTGACGGTAGGTGGGGACACTAGATACAATAGGGAAGGGAGGTGGCAGTGGATGGAGGTGACGGTAGGTGGGGACACTAGATACAATAGGGAAGGGAGGTGGCAGTGGATGGAGGTGACGGTAGGTGGGGACACTAGATACAATAGGGAAGGGAGGTGGCAGTGGATGGAGGTGACGGTAGGTGGGGACACTAGATACAATAGGGAAGGGAGGTGGCAGTGGATGGAGGTGACGGTAGGTGGGGACACTAGATACAATAGGGAAGGGAGGTGGCAGTGGATGGAGGTGACGGTAGGTGGGGACACTAGATACAATAGGGAAGGGAGGTGGCAGTGGATGGAGGTGACGGTAGGTGGGGACACTAGATACAATAGGGAAGGGAGGTGGCAGTGGATGGAGGTGATGGCAGTTGGTTCTCAGAGCAGGATTCATTTGAAGGGGAGGAGTCGCACCTTAATTGTGATCTTTCCCTCATCTTTCGGTAGGTGGGCAGCCAGGAACCAGTCTCCCGGGAGAGGACTGGTGACATTAAACACTCCAGTGGTCCTGTTTGGAAGAGTCCAGGTGAGGGTCAGAGTGAATGAGCCCGGCACAGCTGTGTCTCGGGGAAAGTGAGCATTCAAGGGGTTAATAACCGGAGGAGCACCAGGTCTGAAGTATCTGCGGAGAGAGAAGAACATGGCCAAGTTAGTTCCTGCCCATATGGCAGTTTTTCTTGCTCCCAAGGATGGTGGGGACCCCTCATAATGGGCACAGCGGGTGTACAGGCCCGGGAACTCAGCACAGGGATGGTGGGCGCCCCTCATAATGGGCACAGGAAGTGTGGAGACCCAGGAACTCAGCACAGGGATGGTGGGCGCCCCTCATAATGGGCACAGGAAGTGTGGAGACCCAGGAACTCAGCACAGGGATGGTGGGCGCCCCTCATAATGGGCACAGGAAGTGTGGAGACCCAGGAACTCAGCACAGGGATGGTGGGCGCCCCTCATAATGGGCACAGGAAGTGTGGAGACCCAGGAACTCAGCACAGGGATGGTGGGAGCCCCTCATAATGGGCACAGGAAGTGTGGAGACCCAGGAACTCAGCACAGGGATGATGGGAGCCCCTCATAATGGGCACAGGATGTGTGGAGACCCGGGAACTCAGCACAGGGATGGTGATACAACTGTCTGTGTCTAGAAGTGTCCCCCCCATCTTTGTACATTTCCCCATCTCTCCTCTCCCGTAGCCCGAGGACGTACACTGTGACACTGCGGTCAGGACAGTTGTCACCGAAGGTTCCTCCCTGCTCCTTGAATGTAATGAGGTTCCACACAGCGATCACCGTGTCTTCTGGAATGTGGAAGTGGAAGAGTTCAATGCTGCCCACTGAGCGGAACGGATTCAGCTTCCGAGGCGTCCGGGTGAAGTAATCCGTGACGAAGAGACCGTCTGTAATGAGAAAGGAGCAGAGAGCCAATCACAACCATACCGGTCACCCAGGATCCCCGGCCCGTCTATGGAGAGACCGGTGAGGACCTTCCCTAAGCGAGAGGCCACCCAACATTTCTACTGACTGACTTCCAACATGTCTGCAGAGCCCACCCAGCTATAAGGACCACCAAACTTCCAAAGAGCCCACCAAAACCACCGATAGATTCTACCAAACCAGTGGCGTAACTAGGAATCACAGGGCCCCATAGCAAAATTTTATATGGGGCCCCCCGTGATTTCTAGTTATACCCCTTGCAGAGCCCACTCGAGATCCCACCTGAGGGTGAACCTGCAGAGCCCACCATAGACTATCTATGGTGGGCTCTGCAGGGTCACCCTCAGGTGGGCTGGTCGCACTCCTTACCTGTCCGCCTCCTCTTCATCCATGGTCGCTGATGGGCCCCGCCTCCTCCACTGCTGCCGACCACGGGCCCTGCCTCCTCCCCCACTGCCGCTGCTGGCTCTCATTGACTCTGTGGAGAGGAACGCGCTGCCGCACAGATTACTGTCAGTGATCTGAACAGCGGCGAGTTCGTCTTCAGCCGCCAGTGAAAGCCACCAGCAGAGGATCCCATAGCGACCCAGACGGTCCTCACGGCATCTGGCCGGGCCCCAGGCCCCACTGTGCCCCGGGCCCCGTAGCGGCCGCCTGGGTCGCTATGATGATTGTTACGTCACTGTACCAAACCCACCAAAACTGCCGCCCATCAACCCCATGTGGAGGGCACAGGAAGCTCCTCCATCTTCTCCACACTGCAGTGCCCATCACACCCGGGTTCTATAGACGCCCAGCAATGTCAGTCTACTGAGCACGCAGAGTCTTCCCCAAACACCATCATCATCAAATCTGCCCCCAGAACATGACCCCCCATGGAAGGCCCGGGGATCTGGGTGGACTGACAGACCGGTGAGAGGTCTACGTGGCTCTGATCTCCATCCTTGTGTTCATCTCGACTTCCTACATGACCAAGTCCCAGGAAGGCCCAATACCCTCAACGTCTGATTCCAGCTCCATTCACCCTATAATTCTCAGAGGAGGAGCCTGCATAGCACTTAATCATGTGACCAGAGGTGGGAGATCCTCCTCAGAAGAAAGGTCCATCAACCACAACCCAAGGAACCTCTAGACACCTCTGAAGGAACCCTGGTTGGGAATGGCTGCCATAGACACGGGGCCCCCCTGTGTCCTCACATCCACCAATCATAGAAAAAAGGGGGGCAGTGTGGCCAATCAAAAGAGTCTCCAGAGACATGATCCCCAAGTCTCCCCTTCACTTATATTGTCAATGATACCCCCAGTCTATAATAATATCCCCCCCCCCCCCGAGTATAACATTACAATGACACCCCCAGTCTATGTTCCCATTGAGGTGAGTGAGGTGGTTGCCGGGCTCAGTGTCCTCGGTGGTTGGTTGGGTGTCTGTGGTCTGAGACCGGCAGCTACACACAAATTTGGGGTTCTCTCAAGTTCAGGGGTCACCCCCAGTCTATGTTCCCATTAAGGTGGGTGAGGTGGGCGCCAGGCTCAGTGTCCTCGGTGGTTTTTGGGGTGTCTGTGGTCTGGGATCGGCAGCTGCACACACATTTGGGGTTCTCCCAAGTCCCGGGGTCCCCAGTTCATGAATTGTATAAGTATTGGGGAGCAGAGTCCAGATTAGAAGGTTCTGGAAGTTCTGGCAAGGGATCGACATCACGTTTGGGCCAGTGCAGACTTGGCCGATCACGTGCCATCGTGTGCGGTTGCCATTGATTTCAATGTGGTTAGATCGGCGCGGCGTCTGATGAAAACAGCAGCATGGACCTTTTTCGCCGCGATCGTGCGCCATTAAACGGGAGGAATGGCGGCAGGAGACCGCGCGATCCGCCTGGGGTGCCGTAAGAAAAGGATGGCACGGCCCGGCGTGATCAGCGGCGGTGGGCGATTGCCGTGCGGTCACGGATCTCCACTGTGTGCACCGGGGCTCAGAGGATGACCCATCCCCCCTCATCAGACTCAGGAGCCCGGGACAGTAATATTACAATGGGGGTCTCACCCCCAACACTGAACCCCAGAGACAGTGATACCCCCAATACCGTCATCATATATAACACCGATGGACAGCGGCCCCCCAATTCCAAGTGTGTCTCAGACATGGGGGAGGGGGGCAGAGTCATGTGA